GTAGGTTAGAAAACTGTAAAAGGTTATTGCGCTTCCCTCTTTAAATAAAGTTATTGTATTGTATTGTATTGTACACCATCAACATCAACGAGGTTACAAGCGAAGGGCGAGATGCCTACCCCTCAAATGGGCAAACTCTGTTACAACACTATCAATATCAACATCCATTAATTATGGAGTAATAAAAAGATAACGGAAAATAATGCTAAAATTTAGACACCAATGCAGTGCCAAAAAAATTATCAGTCATCCAATTTGATGATAAAAATTCTGACCTGTACGCACAGGCATATGTGTGTACGTGGATCATGCTATGCTCCTGATTTTATTAGAACTCATCAGTGTGGCAAAGCAAGATGGCAAAAGTAACAGAAAATTTCTTGTGTACTATACGCGTTTTTGCTTTACCATACTGATGAATAGATCTAATGAGAACGTAACAGATGTGATGGATCAGTTTGGAGGCTCAGCTCACCTGGAATGCCTTTTCTTAATCTGAGTCCATACTTGCGAAACAACGGCTTGTGCAATTTCATCGGCCAGTCTATCATTACCAAATGACAGAAAATCTCCCCTCTCCTTCCACAAGATATCACTGTGGTCGAAAGGGTAAATTGAAGTATAATGCATCTCCCACGTGGATTGATACCTTCTTAAAGGTCCTTTCACAAGATATGAAGGATTGTAGCTAAATGGAGGAAAGAGATCTCTAGAGTCGCTTTCATCGATGAACGGAAGGCTGTACATCTGCGAACGGCGTTCTACCTCTTCATTCACGAATGTGGGACTTCTACGTTGTACGTGCCTAGGCAAAACGAACGCTGGGTACTGATTAAGTGTTCGAACATCTTTTGATTCGTTGATTTCAGCAAATAACACATTCGAAGGGATTTCTCTCAGTTCACGCTCTTCCCACGACGATGACCTCCATTTCACGAAGATTTCATTAACTTTCTTTTCATTATCATGGAGGCCTTGTTTATGCAAAAATTCTAAAAAGTAAGTATCTCCCGCCAGCAACTGAATACGATTTTTGTTGTCATAACAATTTGTCAGTCCGTCAGTTGTATTCGTGATCAGTTTGCTGTTTTCTGGCTTTGAATCGGAGCTTATCCAGAGCTCTGAGGTACCGTTAATAATAGAGGATAAACAAAAGCTATAATTCCCAGATTCGTTAGGGCGGAGGAAACCAAAAATTCGGAGACCAAAATCTTTGAACTCCTGCGTGAAACGAAGTCGAAATTTCGAAATAAGTAAACGTGACGTTGGTCCATGTGGAAAGAGAGGAAATTCCTTCAGGGACTGCATTTCATGTCCGCAGATTTCCTCCCATATCGCTAGGTTTAAAAAACCTTTTCCAGTTTGTCCAGGGATCATGCCCGATTGAAAGTTCGAAAGGTTGAGACCTTTTTGAGATTCCTTGGCATTTTCTTTTCTGTAGAATAAAAAAGCAACAGCGGTTATGGATGAAGCGAGTATTGCCAAAGCCAGTTGTTTTCTACATCTCCGCCATCGCATCATAGCTTCTTCAGGGTATATCATACAGGCAGCATGGTATAAAGTTGGTATAAATTCCTTAAGTCTCGCTCAAATGAACGAATTTTCTGCTTGAATAGTGTGAGCATTTGAGCATGCAACCAGCTACATCATGGTGGCGCATGCGTGCAACACGTGCGAGGGAGAGATCCTTAAGGAGAGATCCCGTGTCGAACGTAGTGCGAGGCCGTTTCTTTGATTTAACGCCGTAGGTAGTTTTTTAACATTTAGATGGATATCTGGACGTGTTTTGTTGGCCATTGTAAGGGCCAGAGTTGAGAGCAAATCCCTTTTCCCTTCCCATCACCCTAGTCTGCTACACGGCCGTTTTTAGTGTCGTCACGCAATGCGTGACAACCCTAAGAATAGACTAAATTTAAAAATTTTGAAGAAATATATCGCGAACTTTTTCAAAGGATATATAAATTATTTCAGAACAAACCAAACGAGTTCTCAAGTGTATTAATGCAGCTGATTTAGTCCTGTGCGTACACTTGCAATAATATTTGCGAATTGACTAGAGAAACAAACGAAGAAGACGGATGTACCGTCGAAACATGTCTGGAAAATTAAAGAAAGTTGTTATGTTTATACGACTATCTATATTGTTGCTGCTATCTAGACCTTTTAGAAACAAACGGGTAAAAAATATATATATATATTTTTAAAATCCAGGTAGATATTTTCTGCCACTAACTGCATGCTCCACTGACCTATAAACAAAACGAAAAACAATATTACAAACACACTTTGCAGTTCTCCTTAGTTGTGTTGTTGTTTTACTGCAGGTCTAAAAAGCTCACTAAATTTATTTATATTAATCGAAATAACCAAACAGCAAACAGCCAACGAGCGAGGACACCAGTTTTCCTGGTTTATTTCTTATAAAAAGCGAAGGAAAACAACAGGTCTTTTACCTTAAAACTAGCGCCACCAGCTTTTATAATAATGCCTACAAAAATTCCTTGAACAGCGATGCCATATTCTTCGTCTAATACTTCACAGTTGGCGGTGGAGGTTTCTTTCGCAGTGAGCCTCCGCTTGCGTACCCCGTTCAGAGAAGTCATTGCCGGCTAAACTTTCAGATGAAACCAGTTTTAAGATGGACAGTATTCTGATTTGCACTCGTTTGTTGGTAAAAAGGGACCTTGTTAGCGGTCAACAACCTGCGGAGGGTTCAACTCCGCGATACACCAACATTAGTTCCGTAACTACAGCAAATCGTGAGAAGATATGAACAGCCATATGAATTTTCCGAATTTCCATGGCACATATTAAGGCATATTTTCCTACCATAAGACCATAAAACAACAAAAAAAGACAGCAAAATGGATCCTTCCCTCCGCGGACGGCGGATCATTCGCGAATTCAACTACGAGGATAAAGCGCTTTCAACTTCCGGCGTTTGCGACAACCAATCAGCGTTACGGCCGGGGGCCCATTTCTCGAAAGTCCCGGTAACTTTTCGGGCCCGAAATCAAATATTCAAATCGAAATATAAAGAATAAGAACGCGGTTCCTGGTTAGCAAACTACTCCATTTTGTTTCATTAACTGATAGTTTTATCATGTTTGATGCAAAACTACTGAAACCTCTATCTTACAGGTAAACCAAAACAGCTTTACGGGCCCGTTAATTATTGGGACTTTCGAGAAACGAGCCCCAGGGCCGTAACGAGCACAGACGTGAGAGAGTTTGTATCAGGCTCAATTATTAGCGGTAGCCGTTAGAGAGAATGTGTGAGAACCGCTCAAATTGGGCCTGATCTCAGGTTAACTACGAGTAGCCCCCAAAGCGAGGGAAACGCGAGCGCCAGTGAAAATCACTTCTCGCGAGAAAGGCGCCTTTCTCGCGTGGGGTGAGTTTCACGCGCGCTCTCGTTTTGCTCTCGCTACTGTACCAGCCTCCTCCTCAGGCGCTTCGTTTTTCACATGGCAGAGGCGAGCGCGAAACGAGTGACTGGTGATCATAATAAACCGCAGGGGACCATGGGAAGGGTACAGTCTGGGTACGAGGCAGCTACTGTACCCTAAAAACGGCTGTGTAGGATACATCACCCCCTGCTCCTGCCGCACACGTTACGCGAAGACGATTGGGGACGAGTCAGTTCCAGAGTTATTAGTGATTTGATCGAACTGAATAAGCGACAGGACGGGAGAAGAAAAACTGATAGCAAACCTTGTGTGACAAGCAATACAATAATTTTGTTTAAGATAACTTTTCGACAAACTTCACTCTCCTTTAAACAGATCTTTTTGTAAAGACCAAAAAACATTGATGTTAAGTGAAGATCACGACAAAACACGCACGTAATAGCCCTGTCACGTTTGTCACGCACAAGCGTTTTGCCGTCCTGTTGCGTAAACTCGCTATTGATAAGGGCTGGTTAATTCCCACTACGATATAAAGATAAAGATATCATATTTGATTAGTGTTAAAACATGCATTCATTTTTTCATTATTTTTATTTTACTTTTTTTTTCTCTTGAAGATGTTAGCTCAATAAAGCTATTCTGATAATGCGAGTTAAAATGTGTGTTTGTAAGTATGACCTCTGCGATACCGGTACAGTGCTCTACCAATATCATTGTCCGTTGGCTTTTTGTCAATTGGTAGACCGCTACATCGGTATTGCGAAGGAGCGAAGAACATCAAGGTATTCAAGAATAGAAGGAGCGGGGAGGACTGGGAATTATTGGATCGCTTAATGAAAGCTGACATTAGCTGACATAAAAGTTAGAACAAAGGCTCAAAATGTTAAACGTGTTTTACAGTATTTGCATCCTAAGAAAGGCATGTGGAATAACATCAACAGCCATGCAAAAGATGACATCTCGAGCAGATATTGTTCCCGGGGGTTACTTGGGTTAATTTTTGCTGGGTATGTGGCGCTGACCTCTTAGAGCCCCTAACCCGTTATAGTCTATTCTGTGGCCAATTTTAGACTCCATCTTAGTCACTTTTGCACAAATATGTAATTTTCCTGATCTCAACCTAGTCACTTTCTATTTATGTATCTACCTTATCAGTCCTTTAAATAGGTCATCCTCAAATGAATTGACCTATTTTTGCGCTGTAAATTGAATGAAGAACACTTTACTTTTCACCTACAGTGCAAACATTCTCGTACGTTTGCTAACCGTAACTTGAAGAACTGTCTTGCTCGAAAAATCCGAAAATGTGCGACCCCATTCTAGTAACTCTATTGAAAATGCGACCCCATCCAGCGGCACATCTCCATTAGCCTCTTATAAGGAAGTACACCCCCGCCCCCGGGATATTGGTATTGAGGGTGGATCACTGAGTAGTTGCCAATAAGAATATTCAATCAATAGCCGTTAGTTTCGATTTATACAAAAGTTTTTACGGTTCAATACTTCATATAAGAAAGCTCGATGTATACAAGAAAACAGTTCGAAGTATAAACAAGAGCCATAATGGGTATAAACGAATTATTCGATTTGTACAAAAGCATTTCGATATATTTGTACGGTACCATTCATATCACAGGTAGCCCAAGCTCGAAATATGAGCATCGGCGAACATGGGCATCGTTGCGTGACATTCGAAATATAAGGATTTGTATGGAAAAAAAACCTATCGTTTTCCGTAACCTACGAAAATGAAAGGATTTCATTAAAAAACAGCTCACCTTACATAAAATGTGTGTTACGTCTCTCCAGTATGGCTCATGGGCCGATTTATGGCCGTTTTATGGGGTGTAATGTAAACGGTTTTCTCTCTATATAAAGGTTTAGCAAGGTTGGGACTCCAGTGAAGCGGCCCGACGGATCCAACGAAGGAAAATGGACGTAAATTCGCTCCAACGGCTCCAGTCGCCTCCAAATTCCCCCTAGGTAACACACGATAGTTCTGCTAGAGAGAAAATCGCATAGCTTAATTTAATATTTTTTAAACAGTGCATTATTGTAATTTCATTCTATTTATTATTATTTCTTAAAGTATTTGTTGTTGTAAAGCGCAATTAGACAGCAATGGAAATGGCACTAAAGAAGTAGATGTTATTATCTCGCAGTATAAAACTTTGGGATGCTGTCCACATTATGATTAGTATAGGGCGCATAACATAACCTACACCACTTGAGAAGCTATACTTAGAGGCAAAAAAAGGTCGGTACGAAACCTAATACAATCCTAATATACATAATGATATGAATCTCTCTACTTATAAAGCCAATTTAGAATATTATTAAATTCTTATACTCTGTAAAACCTACGCAAAGACATGATGATATAATTATCCCTACTAGAAGCCTATTTAAAAAAATTATTCAGTTTTTATACTCTCATTATCTCTTATATATACCTAAACGCCCGGTCTGAACTGGACCATCATAATGTGGTTATCTCTACTAAAAGCCTATTTAGAATAATATCAAACTCTAACACTCTATAAAATCTAAGTAAAAACATCATTAAACTTGTGTTTCTGGATTTCTAGAGAAAAAACAATCTAAAACCTGATATCCTTAGCGCCCTAACTAAGTATTTATCTTAAATGTTCTGGCTGTGTTTAAAGTGTTTGAGATGGCCGACTTCTGCATCCGCTCAAGTATGCTCCGTGTTCTCGCTCCAAGTAGCTTCCTCACCGACTTCTTTAGGGTGTTTAGAGTAACCACCCAGTACGTCAATTATTACGTTGTACTGTTCAACCCTGTAACCATTGTATCTCTGCTTCAGTTCCCACATCATGGGTCCATACTTGAGTGTCTTTTCCTCATCTTTCTTGGCTCTACTCTCAATCCATGGGCAGCTCATTTCAATTGTGCAGACTTCTTTCCTCTCGTGGCTGACAAGTCGCGCGTCGATCCGATTTGCTGTAACTTCGTTGTGCTCTGCATGGATGGGAATATCCCAAAACGCCTCACTCGTGGTGTTCTCGTAGGCTGGTTTTAGCATCACCGGTGAGTACCATGGTGGAACCTCTTCTATTAACCCATGTTCTCGCAGGAGCTCAAAAAACAGCGGAATCTTCAAAGCTGCATTATGCCTGTATAGGTACTTTGTTTGTGCCAGGGAGCTAGCCAGTATATGTGCAACGCTCTCAGCTACCTTCCCACATAACCTGCATAGAACTTCGCCGTCGGTGGAGGTTTGCTTCTTCTCCTTTGCAAAGGAGAAGAAGCAAACCTCCACCGACGGCGAAGTTCTATGCAGGTTATGTGGGAAGGTAGCTGAGAGCGTTGCACATATACTGTGTAGAGCTTCGTAGGTAACAACTGCTCATACAGTTCATACATGCCCGCGATGGTATATGTAGGGCATGTAGCCCAACCTTTTAACCATGCAAAGCGGCTGGTTATGCTTAGGCTCTCATCTTCCCATCTGATACGGAATAACCAGCTAAATAACTTTCCTTGCCACTTTTTGTCTTTAGCGATCTCCAAGAACTGCTTCCCTTGAGATTGCTTCGACAGATTCCCAGCTCTTGCTGCAGTGACCACCTTTCCTAAATTATTATTATTATTATTATTATTATTATTACTATTATTATTATTATTATCTCTTTTATCACAGTCTTTGCCGGTGTTCTTTTTGTGTATCAGCCGGGCGCAAACCATGCACCTAAAGCGTGAGTCACTCAAGTCAATCATTCTGTTCATACACTGAGAACTTTTCTGAGGATTCGTGCAGATCCCAGCATGCAGATCTTTTGAATCTCTGTCATAGTAGCTCTCTCTGATACTTTCTTGATGTTTTCTACCATACCCTTCTTCACTGTACCAAGCGCACCAACAACCACTGGGATCACTACGGCTTTCTTCTCTCTGTGTTGGTACCTGCCCGTTCTGGTGTGGAAGGACCCTGTTCAACAGATGGGTTTTGCAGGTTGAGAGGGTAGATCAGTATTATTACCTTATTATGAGGGATTATTGACCCGCGCGACGAGCGATTATGAATTATTATTATTATTATTATTATTATTATTATTATTATTATTATTATTATTATTATTTTTATTATTATTATTTACGATCATGCCCTCCCTACTTCTCTATTCCGTCTTTCGTGGTTCTCTAATTCCCTCTCTTCTCAAAACAAAATAACAAAACATTAAAATTAAATAGAAAGCCTGATCGTAGGTAATTATACAAGGTAGAAGACGAACGCTGCATGGTACAGTCCTCCCACGCAGACATTCTCATACAATCAAGTCTCTCAAAGACAAATACCCCTTGAGACCGGCACCACGTGTCCATCTAAGAGTAATGTCCGTCTTATTGAGAGTCAAATAAAGGGAATAAAGAAAGGCAGGAACCAACTCTAGCTGTCCGTTTAATACTCAGACGTACACGCAAATTCATACCCCCAGCGTGGTACAAGGGGAAGGGAAAAAATCAAGAGGAGAGAGTTTTTTTTGAAGGGCACAGCATTCCTATTTTATTACATGTATCACGCACTGAGAAACTCGGAAGTTCAAATTGCTGTATTTTCGAAATGAAACATGCTACGGGAATGGAAACTTGTACAAAGATTTATTTGTTGTTTATCTTCAACATTGTTGTAAATAAGAATTCGTAAAACCTCGCTATTTTGACTTTACAGTTTTATGACGTCCGCTGTCAGCGCTGTGAAAACCATCTACAGAGCGTTTTCACTCACGTGGCCAGCATCTGACAAACGAAAGCGTTTGCACAAGAAAAGAGTTCAACTCTCACAGGATTGGTTTGGAACTCTCAGTGATCGCCATTTCATTATTTTTGGGTACTCTAGCGTGACTTGGTTTCAAACATCGAATTTGAATAAAAGAGCTATTGCGGAATAACACAACAATATAAATACCAATATAAGTAGCGCTACCCGTCCCTGCCAACAGGTGACGCGTGACGAAGCCCAATGCTGTAGTTTTACTACGATAAATTATTTTTATTCAGATTTATCCGCCAATTGTGGTGATAGACCGACATCAGGATCTCTGACACATGGCAACGCGATTGAGGAGGTGTAAAAGAAAACTGGTTTTCGCGACATTCTTGATAATAATAATAGTTTTTGCTGGCTTTATGATGCACAAAGAGACGAGCTTTGGCGTCGAGAATGACATACGTGATAAATCTGGTCAGAGAGGGGAAGGATTTTCTTCATCGGGAGCTTTAAATGTAGAGATTTGGAAGGATATCTGCGGACACAAGATGCAGTCGCTAAAACATTTTCCACTCTTTCCGCATCGACCATCGACACGTTTACGAACGTCCGCTTTGCAGCTTTATTTTCGGCAAGAATTGGAAAATTCTGGACTACGAATATTTGGATATCTGTCTCCCATCGAGTCTGGGGATTACAGTTTTCATTTAGATACAAGTGAAACTTCAGAACTTTGGATAAGCTCGGACTCAAGGCCAGAAAACAGCAAATTGATCGCAAATTCAACTTTCGGGGTTGCTTGGAAATTTGACGGGCATGAAAGTCTAGTGTCACTTCTCGCTGGAAAGCTTTATTATTTAGAAGTTTTACTCAAACATGGAAAATTTGAGAGGAAATTTTGTTATTTTGAGGTAAAATGGAAATCATCTTCTTGGAGAGTAGATGATATAAGAGAAATCCCTTCGAATGTGTTTATTGCTCGTGATACGTTTGAGGAGGCTCGAACATTTGATCACAACAAAAATTTGGTTCTTCCTATGCACAATAAACGCCAAGATCCTAGCTTTGCAACGGAGGAATCACAACGCCGTGCAGAAATGTATCACCTTCCTTTCATCATTGATAGTGATTCTACAGATCTTTTTCCTGCATGTGACTACAATCCTTCATACCTGGTGAAAGGACCTTTAGAAAGGTACCAGTCCACTTGGGAGTTACACTTTTCATCCATTTATCCGTTTGACTACGGTGATATCTTGTGGAAGGAAAGGGAAGATTTTCTTTCATTTGGAAATGACATTCTGGATGAAAGTGTAGCAAAAGCAGTTGTTTCTCAAGTCTGGACTCAGATCGAAAACAAGCATCCAAGGTGAGCCATGCACCAGGTGATTCATTACAACATCCTGGGTTTTTATGTTTCTTTTGCAATCTGATACGTATAACACAAATTATTTTTGCTCTGATTTGCTCTTAAAAGAGCAAATCCGTGCAAAAATCGACCAAAATCGCCGATTCGTGGCAAGGCTCAAAAACTCAAAATCGCTCTTCTTTTGCAGACTGGTAGACTTTAGTAAGTATACAAACGCTATGTATTTTTTTCTTCCAAAGATCTGTTCGTTTCCGAGAAAAACGAAGAAAACCGTTTCAAGCCCCACCGTCGATTTCGCAAGCCAAAAACAGGGTTGAAATTCATCATGATTCGCTGGACTCGCGTTCCAATACAACCGCGCTAGGAAGGAAACTTATTGCTAAAATTTTAAGTTTAACTCGTCGGTGATCAAAATATATAATATTTTTAGCATTACAACCCTCTGAGTAATTTTAAAAAAACTAAAGCGTACGGCTACCTGATGTTTACCCACGAAAGGTCGTTGAAAACAGCGACGATTTTCATCATGTGCCTTTGATCAGAATTTTTTCAGATTAAAGGGAAATGCACAACAGGCATCAAACGTTTATGTTGTGTAAAAATTATTTTGGGGAAATCATTTTGAGCTTCTCAGAAATTATTTGAAAATCGTTTTACAGGCAACATAAAGTAACGCCATCTTTAACATATGCGTGACCATCGTCAGTCGACCAGGCAAAGGTCATCAAACGTCTGTCCTAAAAAGTCTTGCTAATATTCACGCACACAGTCCTAAATGTTAAAGTACTTACCCTATTCTTTGATTCAGGTCTAGGTTTACGGCAAAATGTTTCCCGTTGCCATCTGTTCAAGTTTGCATTCTATATTAAACTCTGTTTGAGACTCATAACCAACACGCATGCTTTCAAACGAAGTTCGCTTATGTTAATTCAGCGCGTAGTAAACCCTCTCCTCCTTATCTGTCAACAACTTTTGTCTCAAAATGCTGCTGGGCACCGCAGAAGGAAGCGCCAATCTGAAGGATGAAGCGCCCTACGGACTTTTTGTGACTCAGTATGCAAATTAGTTTCAACAGTAATATCGGATTACAGCTGTCAAGATCCCGGGGCCCGGGGTCAGGATCCGCTAAAAGCAGGCGAAAAGCAAACGTAAAACATTCGTGTAATACAAAATTTTTGAAAATGAAGAATATAATTGGTAGCCTCGCTGAAGATTTTCATTGCTTCGAGACGTCGGCATTATCAAATCAAAAGATGTTTTAACAAAAAATTGTGTACATGTTTTCTTCCCATCTTCACACGGTAGAACTTCCAATAGTTGGCTGCACGTGGGTAATCCTGGCTTGCACGTGCGTTATTTCAGAGTGCCTTCTTAATAAAGGACAAAATTAATGTATTAAATGTCACTTTTCGTGAATTGAAACAAACATTTTTTACATTTTTTTGTTAGTACATTTGAAATAAGACAATTTCCAAAACAAAATCGAAGAAACAGCGGAGACAACAGAACCTCGGCCATGAAGGATCCGATGGTGCCTTCCGATCTTTAACCTGTGCCGAGTAAGACCAGGAAGCCAATTTTGCAAGGTTTCGAAATCCATTTAACTATTGTCTCAGTGACATAAGGGACGGACCATTAGAAAACTTTTTGGGGAGGGGGGAGTACCAAAAAAAATATTCGCGCAAGGGAAAATTAAATGAAAAAAATTCATGCACGCCAATTAACCCTGAAAAATATTCATGCTACGGCCTAAAAAAATTCATACAAGGAATTTGATAACGAGACAAAATTCCTGCGGCTCAAAAATCCCCCCCCATAACTTTTCTAATGGTCCGTCCCTAATAGATAAGATTTCTCTCCGTGATCCCCAGTGTCCTACGTTCTTGTAACATTCTGCAAGCGCATCTGCTACTGAGCTTGAAGTCAGTGGCTTCGTCATTGGTCTGCTGAGCTACAATTTGAGATTGAACTAAGGATACCCAGGGTTCTTCAGCGTCTTCTGGCGCAATCTCCTACCCGTCTGTCCGTACGGCGGGTAGGAGAGAACCCTGGGAACGAGGTTGCAATCTCTCCAAGAGTTGCATCGACCACTTGTTTTGCTGTTCGAATGTGGAATTGTTGAGTTCTATCCGATGCCATATCCCCCACACGTTGTCTTGAATGAGGTACAAGTCAGTCGTTTGAAGGAAATGTAAAAATAATAATAAAAAAAACGACAACAACAAAGCCATCAGAACTGGACTATGATCTTTACTCTAGGGGAAATCGGGTTTAATTTCAAACTAAAAGTAAAACTGAAAAGTTTATTTTATCGGACAGATTAGGTGGATTGGTGCCGTACCCGGGAGACTCTGGGTTATCTAAGAGAGTTGACAACTCTTGAATCTAAGTGACTTATTAGAATATAATACAATGAATAAACTAAGAGTACCTGAACCTACAGGAATGAGGATACCGGTTTGCTGATAGATATATTCTGAAATGTTCTTCTTCTAACTCCTTTGTCGGCTTTAACAGGCTTCCCTCTTCTTTCAATTATGTGATTGGCGATTTCCTTTGGAACTTGGCACGAATTGGAATAACTGTTCCGTCGCCATCCAATACCGAGCTCAGAACGATGGAAAGGGCATATATTAAAGGAACTTAGGGCGCTTTCCATTTGTCAGAACTGGCCGGCTGGACCATAGCCCGACCAGTCATTTTGAAAATGAAATAGGATTTTTCCAAGAGTTTTTGCTTAAAAACGTTCTCTTTCGAGCATACTATTTCGGATTTGACTGATCTAGCTGAAGAGTTTGATTAAAAGGGAAATTATCATTGGGACGGGAATGGTCTGGCTGGTCAGTTCTGAGCTAAAATAAAGTCTGTTTCGCTTTCAATACCAGAGAGAGACCATGTCAACCTATGCCCAGTTCCGTCCTTAATAGTTTGACAACGACAAAGGAACAATCTCAGTTGATCTCTGCTTATCCCTTCTATAAAACGAACACAGAGTACCTACTAATGACTCGAAGGAGCACGAACCTTCCATAGCTTCATCGAAGAAGAGCGCACACAAACAGTGTTTATGCAAAGATCTTTTTCTTTTTCAAGTGGGAATGAACAGTTGAATCAAATTAAACTAAATTTAATTCGATAATGTTGATCAGATGCCTAAAACGTCAAAATATTAAAGATGATTCTTGGGTAAAATAATGTCAACTGGAGTGTTTTTGAAGAAGGAGGATTATAAAAGATGAATCTTCATCAGTGTACTGGAAGTAACTGGTGAAAGTCGGTAAAGCTCGTCACGTGTATTTCACCGGAAGTAGACCCTTGGCACACTGCTATGCAAATGAGATTAATCCCGGCATAGTAAATCGAATCCAATCGAACTAAATTTCAATCGAACGAAATCGAACTCATCGAAAAGAAAAAAAATCAATCAAACCCAATCGAACGTTTGATTTTCGAACTCGTGATTTATGTAAAACAGACGTTGAAAATCCATTACCAGATCTTAGAAGCTCGAGTTACTTCAGCCCTGAGTGTAGCGCACGTGTTTTTCGTAAACGAAGAAATTCCGCAGAAATGGCTTCAGATGCGTTGTGGATCGTAAGCTTCAAATGTATAGTCAAAGGCTACCAGGAATGCCGCTTTGACGTCAAGGATGGCGAAGTTTTCAGGGTTTGTTCTGTTCTCTTCTCTTAACTACCGTGGACAGTTTATAAATGGGGTTTGTGATATTGAATAAATAGTAAAAAAAGCGCAAGAAAGACTTGCTTTGACGGGCTTGCTTTGGGCTTGCTTTGTATAGGTTCACCAGAGCCAATCGAACGAAATCCATTTAATTGTGTTCGATTGAGTTCGGTTTCCGAACTCAATCGAACACAATCAGACGGATTGAGTTCGATTGAGTTCGATTTGTTCGATTGAATTCGATTTGTTCGGAAATCGAACTCACTGAAAGTGTGGTGTTCGATTTCGTTCGATTGCCGAACTCAATCCACGGATTGAGTTCGATTGAGTTCGATTGAGTTCGATTTACTATGCCGGGGATTAATTGAAGTGAACGGATCCACGAGCAAGGAAACTTGCTTTGTTAAACTACCGAGTTTTATTTTATAGACGGCTTTTTTAAGGACCAGGTTTCTCAAAATTTTTAACAAGCATGAGATGTTAACTTGAAAACATTAGAGAAAACAGAGGGATGAAGAAATTACCAGGAAGCCTTCACGCACCTCCAACGCACACATTCCAGCGGACTTCACGACTACGGTAAGATAGGCGATAAGACAGCAAAATGAAACAACTTGGAGCCTGAAGTACAACAGATACAGGTTAAGGTGAGCTTTTCAAAAAAATTGTTCTACATATCAAGATTACCAGCGTTGTAAACGGAAACCTGAAGTCAAATTGTTGGTGGTGGTCGCGTGACTCATGTGTTGGATGGCGTTATTTTACGTTGTCTGTAACAGGAATTTCAAATAATTTCTGAGAAGCTCAAAATGATTTCCCCACAATAATTTTAACATAACATAATAGTTTGATGCTTGTAGTGTTTTCCCCTTCAATCCTGAAAAATTCTGATCAAAGGCACATGATAAAAAAATGGGCACTTTTTTCAACTACCTTCCGTGGTTGAACAACAGGTAGACATACGCTTTAGCTTTTATATAATTACTCAGACTGTTGTAATGCTAAAAATATTATATATTTTGGTCAACGACGAGTTATAATTACAATTTTAGCAATGTTTTTTTTTTTCATAGTGAATTTCAACCATGTTTTCGGCTTGTGAAATCGCGCGGTTGTTTTGAAATGCAAGTCGAGCGAATCATAGTGAATTTCAACCATGTTTTCGGCTTGTGAAATCGACGCATCCTAAGTGGGGCTTGAAACGGTTTTCTTATTTTTCTCGGAAACGAACAGATCTTTCAAAGACAAAGCTTTCAGGGCGGAAAACATGGCGTTTGTATCCGTCAGTCTGAAGAGGAATAAAACGTTTTGAACATTTACTGAATTAAAACCCGCTTGTATTAAAGTCTATCTTTAGTTTTTCAGTTTTAATTACATAGTTTTGTTATCTTTCTGTACGCAAATCGCTGTGCGGAGAAAGAAGAGCGACTGAAGCGAGCAAAACAAATCCTTATGTGCAGTTTTTTTTATTTTTTGAGCCTTCAAACACATTGTGGGCAAACGTGAATATTTCTGTGGACAGATTATTATACAAAGATATTTTGTTTTTGTGTCCACGGTGGAGCTCCGGACCTTATATATCCAGGAACTTCCTTACATGACCACATTTTGTGAATGCATCTTGAAAAAAATCGGACTTACGCACGCACATTTCCGGTAAATGTCGTTAAAGTCCGTTTTACTATGATGTATTCTTCGCGAAAATTAAATAATAAGAAGGTTTGGTCGATATTTGCATGGAGTTGCTCTTAATGTAAATATCGACCAAAATCGACTTTTTGTGGCACAAGTTCAAAATTCAAATTTCGCTCAGTTTTGGCTCATCAATAACCCTTAATGAGTAATGAAACATGCTGTAGTTAGTTTTCCCAAATAACCTATTCTTTTGTTAAAATTCGAGAAAACTCATTTTGCCCGTTCGGAGCTCAAAATCCACTTTCGGTAAAGCGAAATTTTTACACAAATTCCGTTGACTCGTACGTCAAACCACAACGATTTGGCAGCCTTTGTAGAACACGAATAGTTCTTATGACCCTTTCTTTCTTATAAGACGATAAATTTGTGAAAGCTGTAATAAGTTTGTGGCCAAAAAGGTATTGTTAAAAATAGGCCCTATTGACAATTTCTACCGTTCAAAATTATAGGGTTAAAATAATGTAATTTTTTACAATGCGCTATAACTTAGAATTTCGCAAATTGACTTTCTACGGCTTAACTAGGCCCCAATCTATCAGAAAATCGAAACAAATCTCTGGGCAAACGATTTTAATTAGCCCGCAAGACGCCGAGTTCAACCCTAATTTTGCGAAAAATCGCGACATTCCAGTGGTTAAAAATAGCGTGACACGGCCCGTCACGCCAGCATGCACTTTCACATGCCAAATTCCAGCATACAATCTATATTACATCTTTCAATAACCTTATCTTATTTAGAAGAGTCATTTTGTTTGGATACAATATATAGTGTAGAACTGCCCAGAAGTCGGCTTTTTTGAGCGTCGTCGGCAAGACGTCGACGACCGGAGCCCAACGAAAACAAACTGTAAACAAGTACAGTGGTGTGTTTTGTTAATTTAAGCATGCGTCAAAAGGCATAAATACGTTAAATTTAAGACGGGGATAACCAATATTAACTAATTAGAACTCTTTTTTTTTCTTTGGAGTTTTCTCTTTCAAGTAATTATGTATAAGTATAAACGTACGTTTCGATGTAGTACTAGGGAGCTTAAGCAACAACGTTTTTGAGCGACGAACGTTTCAAAACATTTTAACTTGTTTTCATTTTTCGACGGTGGTTTCACCATCTTTCAAAAACAAATCACCTCTATAACAGCAAAACGGAAAATAGGAAAAAAAATTTTCGTTTTATCAAGGCATGTAAAGCAGGAAAATAGTTGCACTTCCGGTTGATCATGCGTCGCTTAAAAACGTCGCTCCCTAAATGGACATCCCTAGATATTATCACCATTAAAAAGTTACATTGTAACGAACGTTTCAGAAAACATTTTAACTCGTTTCGATCGACGATGAAACACCATCATCAAAAACAAATCACCAAAAAATGTCCTCTACAGCAAAACGGAAAATAGAAAAAAAAAAGTGTCGTTTTACTTACTATTTTCCTTAACATTTGTCTGGGGTAGAGGAATAGCGAGTTTTCTGTTGGTGTCTCTTAATAAGTAATTAGAGATATTGCAACGATCTGCCCTTGCTACGATCTATTATGCACTTAACAAGGCCCCTCAAAGTACTTAAGATATATGACGCATAGTCTGCTATACACCCGCCTATCACTGCTCTTTGACGATATGTCCCTGGCGGCAGAAAGCGATGAGAGGAAGCTTTATCGCAGGCTCTTGGCATCAAGGCTTTTCTACTATTTACATTGGTAAACCGGTCGCTTCACGGTTTGGGCAAATGGTGAGGAGAATTCAGGACTGATTAATTTTGATTCCGTTCGGTAATCGCGTTTACCATTTTCCTAAGTCAGTTTCGTTTAATGAAAAACGGCCGCGAAAGCCTGAAACTAATATTCAAAAAAGGTTTGAAGACATGAAATCCGAACTTCCGCCTGGAACTTTCCAACCAGGAAAACAGGCGATTGCCTTTTCAGACGTTCGTTTGTTTCAGGAATTTTCCACTGAAACGTCGAAAGCAACCCGAAACTGAGTTTATGGTAAGCCTGGCAAAGCACCAAAGAGTCCTCTTAGTTTGTTTTAATGGGTCATAGTCATGCAGTAGCTTCATGATTCATACACGTTGTCATACAAGTATATGCTCCTCTTGGGGCATCCACGTAGCCTTTTTTTCAGTTTTGAGAGCCCGCAAGGGTAAAAACTGCGAAAAGAACTATTGCACCAATAGTTAGTCTAAAATATTTTTATTCTTTAAAATTGCTTCAAGGAAATTAGTTTTTATAAACCAAATGGCATTGATTGGCGATGATTTAATTCGCAAATATCTCTCGATGCAAAAATTCATTCAGTAATCAGTTTTAGCTTTTAGATTTTGTTCTGTTCATATACCATTTTTTGAGGGAAATCGCCAGTCTGAAACTGAACATGAAAGTGTGTGAAGCTATCCCAGGGACCCTAAATGTTGTATCTGAAGAAAATGCTGCAATCAATGAGAATGATAGGTTTACTGAAAGATTTAATTTCGAAGTGGCTTTTAATCTACCTGTATTAAGTAAATTGTTTAAAGCATATCTATCGGTAACACTGGCGTGACGGGCCGTGTAACGCTATTTTTAACCACGGCAATGTCGCGTTTTTTTTTTTTTGCAAAAATAGGGTTGAACTCAACGTCTTGTGGGCTACTTAAAATCGTTTGCCCAGAGATTTGTTTCGATTTTCTGATAGATTGGGGCCTAGTTAAGCAGTAGAAAGTCAAATTGCGGAATTTTAAGTTATAGCGCATTGTAAAAATTTGCATTATTTTATCCCTATAATTTTGAACGGTAGAAATTGTCAATAGGGCCTATTTTTAACAATACCTTTTTGGCCACAAAATTATTACAGCTTTCACAAATTTATCGTCTTATAATAAAGAAAGGGTCATAAAAACTATTCGTGTTCTTCAAAGGCTGCCAAATCGTTGTGGTTTGACGTACGAGTCAATGGAATTTGTGTAAAATTTCGCTTTACCGGAAGTGGATTTTGAGCTCTGAACGGGCAAAATGCGTTTTCTCGAATTTTAACAAAAGAATACGTTATTTGGGAAAACTAACTACGGCATGTTTCATTACTCATTAAGGGTTATCGATGAGCCAAATATGAGCGACATCAAATTTTCAACTTGTGCCGACCGTGGGTCGATATTTTCGGAAAGCCACTCTTAATACACTTTGAGTTAGGACTGGTCTTTCCTCGACTTAAAAAAAGACGTTTGAAACGTAACTTGGGAGGTGTCATCAAAGAGTTTTGATTGGTGAATCGTACTGTTTAACATCCTAAATTGTGTCTGTGACATTGTACTGGGGCCTGCATGTGTGTACGCTATATAATGGCCTATAAACAGAGGCTCCGTTCGAAAGGTGTACCATTGTCAGGTTCGGTTAGAGCAGTATATGAAAGGGTTGGGAAATCTCTCATTCGGTCTGTGAAAGGACTTTAAATGCTAACAAGTGCATTTTGTGGATGTGACAATAACCTGATTTAGTGATTTATTCATTTTTAAACTAGAAATACGTTTTCGCAAAAATCTCGCGAAGCTAACAGGGTAAGCAGTGAGAATAAACAGTAAAAAGCCAAAGGGTAAGAAAGTGAAACAAACAAAAAAAAAACTGGAACTGTCTGAACTTGCAGCCCAACATCCTCCATGCGCCGAAGATTCGTTACAATTAATAGTGTTGAAGTATTTTTCTCTGCCATTCACAATGTTTCAACCATGTGGAACTGTATTTATTATGAATTCAAAGATACATTTGAGAAAAAATTGCTCAAACGAGTACTTCAAAACCATTTCGCATTATTTCCGTGTTTATTCAATCTCGGGCTTTATATAGGCCGCTCGATTAACGGAGTGGTCTTCTTCTTCGCTGCTCTCGCTAATTAAAGTTCAGGTCACCGTTCTTTCGGTGTTAAACCTCCCACGGCAAGGATTTCCAGCCACTTGTCCAATCGGGCACTCTTGTGCCTCAGAAATACTTTGCGATTCGCCAACGTACAATAAACAGCCCAAGTCACTGGCATGGCCGTGTTGCCTGGAAAACCAAAATGCACAATGACGTCATGTTGAACAGGGTCTTTAGGATTTGTTTATGGCTCGTTGCCAGGCAACTACGGATACCAAACCGATAGAAAGATGGCCAAAGCGTAATCGCAGTTCGCTTGCGATCCTCGCGTGATCTGCGCGCTGTGCGCGAGAGAAAATTATAAACTCGCTCCGCGAGAAAGAGAGTCCTTTTACAGTAGTACTAGAAATACGTTTTCGCAAAAATCTCGCGAAGCTAACAGGTTCAGCAGTGAGAATAAACAGTAAAAAGCCAAAGGGTAAAAAAAGGATGAAAGAAAAAAATGTAAGTAACCACACCGAGAGTGCTTTTACAGTAGTAAAAAGTAATACAGGGTTCTAAACTAGTATATGAAAGGGGTTCCATTTGCCAATAAAAAAATATATCAAAGGGGTTCCTTCCAAAAGGGATAAGCGGTTGGACCTCGGGATGGAGTCTACAATATAAAATTTTATGCGTATGCTTAAAACTATGCTAGCATAATCCGTCATACCACACTCATTTTCCTTCAATATAGGAAATACACTTTTGTACGAGCCCTTAATGTGGAGGAAAATCACGACCCAGGGACCGGAGACAGGTACTTGGTGGAAATGGAACTGAAAGAAATTTCAGAGGGAAAATCTGTGAGATTCTCAGAATATGTCTACAGACCTTGGGGTGCACACACTCTCTGTACCCCTGTAGGCGTGACATGGAACAAAAGTGCTGTTATAAACATTTTGGTAACAACTGGAAATAACCAGGGACGGTGGATTCTTCACTTCCTTGATAACATGACAAGAATTTACAACAGAACCAAGGATGCCAATTTTAATGTAGTTATCTTTGATTTTGATAGCAAAGACATTGATCTTGGAAATGCTCTGAAAAAGGCGACAATTCCATCTTATCAATATGCTAATTCAAAGGGAAATTTTTCAAGGGCCTTGGGGCTACAGAAAGCTGCCGGAATGGTCAGAGATCCAAATTCAATTCTTTTTGCTATGGATCTTCATCTTGATATTCCTTATCATTTCCTGGATGATGTTAGAAAGGTTAGTGAAGCGTAGTTGTTCTGGGCAGGGAGGTTTCGGGACAGCCCGGGGGTATGGGAACTTTCATTCAGATCAACTTGACTGGCACCTTTTGGTAATATTAAAATCCCAGGGATATAGCTAGGCTTTGTCCAGAGGAATGTATACACAGTTTTCTGAGTCAACCCTAAGGTTGGATTTCCACTGACGCGTAAATTTTACGCGGGAACGCACGTAAATTTTACACACGTAAGTAAATTAGACACAATGTATTGGAGGTCGTGCGTAACGTAAAAGTTGAACCTTGATCAACTTTTACGTTTATGCGCGACACTTCATACATGCTTTTTTTTTACGACCTTAAAATTTATGTGCGTACCCAGGTAAAAATTACGGGACAGTGGAAATCAATGCCTTTTTTATCTCTGACATTTTTTCACATGAGTACCCTCGAACAGGTAGCTATGCCCCTAAAACCCCAAAAGGAGCAGGGTGTATCCGAAAAGGGGGGAGATACATGAAAAAAGAAAAAAAACAGTATCGACTAGCACATTTTATGAGATTAAATCGGTATCAATGTGTTTTTGCGGATAATTAAAGTTTAAAAGTGATGATGTTGTTCGTTGCGTTTTTTTTCTGAGAGGTTAAAAAATCACTATGTTTAAGAAGCCGAAATATGTGTGCAATGAAACACTTGCGTTCGGATCTTTGCCCAAACCAAAAAATGAAAATGATTTAACAGTTTTTTTGCTTATTAGAAGGAGCACACTTTCATTTATACATTTAATACATCGGTCTTACTTTTGCTTTTGTCCTGGTCATTATCTTTCAGCACTCCGTTCAACACAAGATTGCTTACTCTCCTCTTCTTGTCCGCCTAGATTGTGGAGCAACAACTTCTGAACCTTTTGGCTATTGGGAAATTCATGGTTTAGGATTGATAACTTTGTACAAGAGTGACTGGGACAAAATTGGAGGAATGAACGTCAAGGAATTCAAGGATAAGTGGGGTGGGGAGGACTGGGAATTTGTGGATCGGTTACTGGAAGCTGGGATGGAAGTAGAAACGATTAAGATGATGCATTTTTTTCACCACTACCATTCAAAGAAAGGCATGTGGAATAACATTTAACTCCATTCATTATTTGTGGAATCGCAATTAACAGGCGGTTTATACAACTTTCACAATTCAGCAGCTGCTAATACAGCCGTTTCTCCTCGTCCCAAACGGCGAGGAACGAGGAGAAATGGCCGTACTTGACGGCAACAAGTGTTTTGGTATAAAAAATAAGATTAAATTTGACCAGCATTTCAGTGAGCAACGCGTTGTCTGGTTTCGATTGTCTTCGATTTGACAGGAACAAAACAAGAGAGCTCTGTGGCTTTTTCCTGAAGTTAAGGAAAAATCTGTCGGAGGAATTAGAAGTTATTTACATTTTACATACATACATATCCATACAACCGTTATTTATACACGATATATTACTAGGGAATAAAATCGTTCAATAAAATCGTTCAATCATAAAATACACATTTGAAATACAGAAAATTCTCAGATCTGTTGTTAATTGTTTGTGGGGCTAAAACGTTGAAATTAACATCTCTAAAAGTGCAACACTTAACTAATTTTTTCAGAAAAGATTTCATGTCTGTGCAATCTAAAATAGCACCATTTGAAAGACCTATGGCGTTCCAGAGGACAGCCCCTAAAATATGGCAATGGCGTTTTAACCATAATTTGAGGCAAACCTCTGAGCTATTAACCAGTGCTTTCTTCTTGACACAGATCTATTGCTATGAATTATAAATTGTTCAGCTAAAGCGTGTGGAAACAGTTCAAAGTAACCTTTGTAAAAAAGCTGAATTAAAGCCGGAAACGGTGGCTAAGATATCAGCTGTTGGCATATCCGACTTAAAACCAAGTATGATCCTGGCAGCACGGCAGTGTTGTCTTTCAAATGATTTAATAACTCCGTCTGACTTACGTACGCTGCCCCACACTGGCATCGCGAACGCAATGGACGGCTGGATAACATTCAGATAAAACGACTCGCACACTTGACTGGGGAGAAACCTTGATTTCTTCGAAAGGCTTAATTTATTTGCGAACCCTGTGGAACTCCAAATCTGACCTGCGTATTCGAAGATTTTCTGCCATTTATCACTGTAAATTGCTTTCTATTTGAGAGATAATTCTTCATCCAAACGTAGAGTTAGCTGTAAATGCCAAACTGCCTGTGTAATTTGGCCAGCAGGTGCGAGTGTGTCGAAGTGTGATACGCTGTCAAAAGCTTTCGTGCAGCAAAAATGTGGTTATAAAATCTTTGCCGATATCTCAAACGTTTCTTTATACCTACAAGAAAATAGATTTTTTTAAAGTTTCATCATTCTTTATTAAAGATGCTAAGATAATCACAGAAGTCGGTCAAATCTTTCTTGCTGAAAAAGCGCGATTCATAAACATAACCGACACGCAAAAGAACCCCCCACGTGCATAACGCTTTATTTTGAAGAAACGCGGGTCCTACCTAACAAACCAGTCCATTTTGTTTTGTTAGCTAGTAGTTATATCATTTTATGTGTCGATCAATTCAACTAACCCTTCTATGGCAACATCCCAAGCGTTTGAATTTTTGAAGACTGGCCTGTTCAAATTCCTGTTACATCAGTCCAAAACAGTAAACAAACGCTAGTAATTACCCTAAAATGTTTTGAGGTCTGGCAAGTAGGTTCTTTTATTTTGAGTTAGTCATTAGCAATTGAGGCTCAGTAGGTTCTTAATTAGGCCATTAGTGTATAAAGGAGATGTAGTTGCAATTGTTGACTACCCGAAAAGTAAAGAAACTTGACGGTTTGGTCCTTCAATATACAGTATACAGTGTATATTTTGAAATGTACATTGCAAACCGCCTTTGTAACAAGGTCCATGAAGACAATTACAGTCTGTACTTTTTATAAACCTTTTTTCGTTGTAGGAATCTACAAGGTCCATGAAGATCTAGAATTTTCAACATTTGTTGTAAAAATTGCCAGTCTGTATTTTTTATAAACCATTTTTTTTTCGTTGCTAGAATTTTCGGGAGCCTTTTTTCTGGCTGAAATTTTTCAGATTTTCAGACTTACAGTAGTAGCAGACAGGGGATAAAAATATGCCTATATCTACCGTTTAAATACTAAAATACGTTTAACAATGCTATGTTTAAGTGGTTTTGAACTATATTCTCGTTGGGTGCCCCTGTACAGTAGTACTTCTATTTGTAATTACAGTTTGGTCCAGTATCTTCTTGTAACATCATGGGGACCTTAAGAGCCGACGACGGCGACGGCAACGGGAACGCCACAAAAGCAATAGGTTTAATTAGCAAAACAACTATTTTGCACGTGCATCACGCTTTTTGGTACATTTCTTTGCCGTCACTGCACGACTACGACGTGAAAATGCTTAATTTCCCGATGTACAGAGGAAGTACACAAGCGACGACGAAATTTCCTCTCTCTTTCTGGACTTGAATATGGTTCTTAGGAATTCAATTTTATGAGGGTTCGCCTACATTTGACAAAGTTAGTGACTTGGAGTAATCGCTATGAAGATTGAAAGAACGCTAATTAACCTTTTCAGCGACGTTTTCTCCGCCGTCGCCGTCCTCGGATGTTAAGGTCCCTATCATCTGACAATCTCGAAGTCAAATTCTTTGGTTAAAAAGTTTATCTTAATTTACCTGTAACCTAAATATAAGAAGCTGCTTGATTTTGCTTGGCTAAACAGGTTCTTATATTTTTGAGCAATGCCCATTTTCGGAGACCCAGGGGCACCCAGTCGGGTCTGCATTAAAAGCGCGACAAAAGTTTTCAAACTGACTTCCCCTGGGTCTCCGTCGATGGGTGAGAGTCGGTACCCAGGGGCTCTTTCGCCCGTTTTTGAAAACTTTCGGCGCTCTTTTTCTCCCGACCCGACTGACTGCCCCTGGGTCTCTGAGGATGGCCATTACTAAGAAGTGCCAGATTTCTGCCAGCAGGTTCTTATCATGTCTTATTAGTGAGTATTTACTGTATCGTGGCCAAGGCCCCACCATAATGGCGGAAATGAAAGCCAAATGACCCTTCCAGAAAAGAAATGTTTTGCACATTGTGAACTTCTGCATCTTCAACAACGTGCGGTTAGATTTATTTTGAACGCCGAAAAACAGGGCCCAGTTGTTCGAAGGCCGATTAGCGCTTAATCCGGGGTTAACTTTAACCCGGGTTTCTTTTTCTTGTGTTCAAAAGCATTTTCTCGGATAATTTTCTCTGTTATTTTTAGAGATTCCAATCATCAACTTGTAGACAAAAAGAATTAAAACTGAAATGCTTTTTAAGCTTTCAAATCTGTATTCAAATCTTGCACTAACCCTGGGTTATCTTCACACAGCTTTGAACAACTCGGCCCAGGCGTTTTTAGGGCGGGTAGGAGAGAACCCTGGGAACGAGGTTGGCGTTTGCGTTACTCTTAAAATACCCGGATGTTGATTAAGGACTACAGCAGAATGACAGAATGCGATTGTGGAAACTTAAAGTTAAAAGTTTACTTTTTGTGACATTTTTACTCATAATAACGTTTGCTCTAGTGAAGTTTATTGTAAACCAAGGATCTGGAAATGTACAGTTCACGTATGAGAAAGAAGGAGGAATGCCTGGCTCTTTGAACGTGGACATTTGGGAAGAACTATGCGGCCAAAAGATGCTGTCACTAACACAGTTTCCACTCTTTCCTCAAGGACCGTCTGCGCGATTACAAACGCCAAATTTGCGGCTATATTTTCGACCACAATCGGAAAATTCTGGGCTACGGATATTTGGATTTCTGTCCCCCTTCGAATCTGGGGATTACAGTTTTTATTTAGATACAAGTGAAACTTCAGAACTTTGGTTGAGTTTGGATTCAAATCCAGAGAACAGCAAATTGATTGCAAATTCAACCTCAGGGCAAGAGTGGAAATTTGACAGCAATTTAAACAGCGTTTCTTTGCTTGCTGGAAAGCGTTATTATTTGGAAATTTTACTCAAAATAGGAAAATATGAGTGGATTTTTCATCACTTTGAAGTTAAGTGGAAATCATCCTCTTGGAGGGAAGATGACATCAGAGAAATCCCATCCAATGTGTTTATTGCTAATGATAAGTTTAAACAAGTTCGAACAATTGATCGCAACACAAATTTTGTTCTTCCTATGCACAGTAAACGCCAAGATCCTAGATTTGCAATGGAGGAATTACGACGCCGTGCAGAAATGTATCTCCTCCCTTTCATTAGTGAAAAGGATTCCAAAAATCTTTTTCCTGCATGTGACTACAATCCTTCATACCTGGTGAAAGGACCTTTAAAAAGGTACCAGTCCACTTGGGAATTGCATTATTCGTCCATTTATCCGTTTGACTACAGTGATGTAGTGTGCAAGGCAAAAAATGATTTTTTATCTCTTGGGAATGACCAGTTGGATAAAGACATTGCCGAGGCAGTCGCTTCTCAAGTCTGGATACAGCTGGAGAAACAACATCCTGGGTAAATACCTGTTTAGTTCTATTATAGTGGATCTGTAATGCAACCAAAATTACTTTGGCAAAATTTGTGTGTCCCCAAAAGACTGTGGTTTGCATTTCCTAACTCTTAAGCCTGGTTCTCATATGCAACTGACCGAATTAAAAACTGTGACATTGCCGCTGGAACGAGAGGTATACATTGTTCCAATACAAGAAAAGATTAAGTCACCAATAACAGAGGCCATCCCAGGATTTTGTTGGCATGCCTGGAAATTTGACTGCAGTTCAACTTCCCAGGCATGTTTGTGGTAAAGTCCTGTAATATTTCTTTTGGCCAGCAGCTTAAGTCTTCATACCATATTTCCCTCGAATAAGTGTACCCACTCAAATAAGTGCCCTCATAAGCACCAACCAAAAATAAGTCCATAATATCAAACAAGCTCCTTGCTCAAATAATTGCCCCTTCCCTCCCCTTCACTTTCTGATACAAGGGGAATTTGAAGGTCTGCATATTGTTGGCAAGGATGATCTTGAGGATGACAAGATAAACAATATTTTATAAACCTGCAGACCATTACATTTTTGTGTTAAGTGCTTAATGGGACTAAGGTATGCTTGATATTACAACTTCTCCTTTAACAAGGAAAAGACTATTAATATTAACTGTACATTTCTATCAAAAATTGAGCCAAAACAAAGTTAGGAAAACTTAATAAGCAACCCTCTCAATTTAGTGCCCTCCTTTGAATATGCACCTTTTTTAGCCTTAATTCCAAATAGGCACCTTGGCGCTTATTCAGGGGAATACGGTTTGTTGGAACAGTATCCCAGGCAGTAGTGGTGGCATTGGCGCAGGTAAATTGATTGCATATGAGAATTATTAGGGTTTCAGACTTGTCAGTGAAAAGTAAGTCCCTTTTTATATGGAGAAACGTTTTCCCACAAAATAGGGTACCCCCCCCAGATAAGTCAACTTTAGCAAGCATAAATGTCATCCCCTTTGCCTGGGTCAAGAGTGCTCGCCCATGTTCTGGTTGTCTCACATTGCTTGAGTTGACCCCTGAGTGAGCCAAAGTGTTGATTTTATTAAGCATTGTTCCTCTTCTGAATTATAATGCTCATATCATGCTTACAACATACTTTATTCCTGGAAGTGATAGATTATTTTTGATACCAATAAAGGATTGGTTTTGGGGGTATTAAGGGAACCTGGCCGATTGGTAATAAAAATTTGGCCAAAACATATTCCCATCCTATTAGCAGCCTATGCTCTGGTTTTCTGTCATTTGGTGTTGTAGACAAAGAAAACCAAAGCACTTAGAGATGTAATGTTAAATTTAAACAGGGCTTCAATGTTTGATGTCTGACTATCCTTCATCATTTGATCATTATTCTACTTTTAAATCAGGGTTTGGTTTAAGTAATGGTGCAGATAAGAAAGGAAGGACCAAAATGCAGTGAACACGTCGGAATGCAAAAAGGTGCTAACTTTACTATTGTCTCTACTATGGTTCTGATTGGTTTAAACATCAAATTTTACGAAATCTTCGCAAAGCAGCATGTATATTAATCCCTTTTTTTCTATCCAACTTCCTTATAACAAAATCTCGTCTGAGTCGTATGTGCAGATCATGTAAAATTGTGAACATTTCTTGGCCACTGTTTGGAACTCTTGTGATTCGTCGAAATGTCTTAACACAAACATACACCCTTTAAAAGTGGAGTTTAAATACATTTTCTTTCGTAAACTGCCTTTTTGTAGATTTATGCATTCTCTGCTTAAAAATGAAAACATTTCTATGTGAGCAAAGCGTATTCTGCCACAGCAAAACAAATTGCTTCCCTTCTTACCTGGATCATCTCTTAATAAGTTTTCAGTTATCCAGCTAAAGCATGTGATAGTGGAACCTGTAAATTATTATAAACTCAATATTCAAATTATCAAATTCAAATCTTATTCTACTAACAAACCATTGCGCCAGTTCTTTGCTGTACAAGTAGGCAGATATAATATTTATTAGTTACTAGTAAATGAAAGCTGCTTTAGATAATATTATGTAAGATATTAATGAGAACTTGGTCTAACAGGTCTAATAGGTGGGGGCACTTATTGGAAAGTTCACCGGGGTAGTAATGCAGAGGCCAGGGACTCATGAGCCCCGTTAGGGCTCCGAATAAATTTGGGACCTGTTGACAAGTTCGGCCAAAGATATGTTAGCTCTGTTAGTAACATGTCTCTTGAAGTTCTCTCTTCTGACTGGTCAAAATGTTTGAAAAGATGCCTTTTTTGTCTGGGTGATTTTACTCTTCTGATTAAAAAGAGCAGCAAACCGAAGGTTTGTCCAGACAAATTGTCATCTTGGCCGGACATTGTCCATTGACCAGCCATTATTTTGAGCCCTACAGTCTCAAATTTATATTCATTCTGATAATAATTATGAGATTTTGTTTTCCTTCAATTTAGGAAATACTCTTTTGTACGAATCCTAAATGTGGAAGAAAAACATGACCAAAGAAAAGGAGACAGGTACTTGGTGGAATTGGAACTGAAAGAAAATTCTGTCGGAAGACCTGTAAGGTTCTCAGAATATGTGTACAGACCGTGGGGTGCACAAACGCTCTGTACCCCTGTGGGCGTGGCCTGGAAGAAAAGTGCTGTTGTCAACATTTTGCTTACAACTGGAAATAACCAGGGACGGTGGATTCTTCACTTCCTTGATAACATGGCAAGAATTTATAACAGAACCAAGGATGCCAATTTTAATGTTGTTATTGTCGATTTTGACAGCAAAGACATTGATATTGACAATGCCTTGAAGAAGGCGTCAATTCCATCTTATCAATATACTAATACAAAGGGGGATTTTTCAAGGGCCTTGGGGCTACAGAAAGCTGCTGAAATGGTCAGAGATCCAAATTCAATTCTTTTTGCTATGGATCTTCATCTGGATATCCCTTATCATTTCCTGGATGATGTTAGAAAGGTTAGTGAAGCGTAGTTGCTCTGGCCAGAGGGGGTTCGGGACAGCCCGGGGGTATGAGAACTTCTTTTCCGATCAACTTGACTGGCAACTTTTTGTTTAAATCCCAGGGATGTAGCGAAGCATTGTCCAGAGGAATGTACACTCAGTTTTCTGAGTCAACCCTAAGGTTGGGTTTCCACTGATACGTATATTGTATTTGGTGCGCACGTAAATTTTACACGCGTAAGTAAATTAGACGCAATGCATGGGAGGTCGTGCGTAACGTAAAAGTTGAACCTTACTCAACTTTTATGGTTTACGGATGGCACTTCATACATTGCTTTTTTTTTATGCCCGTAAAATTTATGTGCGTACCCAGGTAAAAATTTCATGACAGTTGAAATCCATGCCCTTTTTTTTATCTTTGACGTTTTTTTCACATGAGTACCCTCGAGCAGGTAGGGAGTAGGATGTATCCGAGACGGGGGGAGATACATGGAAAAAATCGTATCGACAAGCAAATTTTAGGAGATTGAATCGCTTTGACGTTTTTTTCACATGAGTACCCTCGCGCAGGTAGGGAGTAGGATGTATCCGAGACGGGGGGAGATACATGGAAAAAATCGTATCGACAAGCAAATTTTAGGAGATTGAATCGATATCAATGTGTTTTTGCGGACAACAAAGTTTAAAAGTGATGATGTTGTTCGTTGCGTTTTTTTTCTGAGGTTAAAAAATCACTTTATTAAACTGAGAAGCCGAAATATGTGTGGAATGAAAGGCTTATGTTTGGATCTTTGCCCAACAAAAGAATGAAAATGATTTAACAGTTTTTTGCTCATTAGAAGGAGCACACCTTCATTTATACATTGAATACGTCGATCTTACTTTTGGTTTTGTCATTCTTATCTTTCAGCACTCTGTTCAACACAAGATTGCCTACTGTCCTCTTCTTGTACGCTTAGGCTGTGGAGCAACAGCTACCGAGCCTTTTGGCTTTTGGGAAATTTATGGTTTAGGATTGATAACTTTGTACAAGAGTGACTGGGACAAAATTGGAGGAATGAACGTCAAGGAATTTAAGGAGAAATGGGGTGGGGAGGACTGGGAATTTGTCGATCGCTTGTTGGAAGCTGGCATGGAGGTTGAAATGCTCAAAATGTTGCATTTTTTTCACTACTTCCATTCAAAGAAAGGCATGTGGAATAACATCAACAGCCATGCAAAAGGTGACATTTTGAGCAAATATTGGTACACGTATTGACGGTGGATCACTGTGTAGTTGCCAAATAAGAATCTCAGGGCTTAAAGGCTGGTAACTCAAACCAAGTTCGATAAACACATGTACGCGAGATAATATTCTTTCAGTGATTAGCGTAAGCTGTCTTGGAGTCCCACCAGTAGATAGACTACAAGTAGTCCCCTATTTTTCCTCGGGGGATAGTAGAGCGAGCGAAACGCGAGCGCGCGTGAAAATCACCCCACGCGAGAAAAAGTGTCGCCTTTTCTTGCGTGGGGTGATTTTCATCGCGCTCGCGTTTCGCTCGCTCTACTATCCCTGAGGAAAAATGGGGGACTACTCGTAGTCTAACCAGTAGATGGACATTTCGCTAAAACGAATAACAAGGGTCAGTTGCTGCCGCTCTTTAGCCAGTTTCTATAACTTTATGAGGGAGACACCTCGCTGCTTAGCCTCTTTCAGGCGTTGAGATAGTAGACCGCGGCGCTAGATGGTGGGGAGCCAGTGAAATCGTACGCGGGAAAAACAAGGGGAGAACTGGCTAATATTGTGATCACTGATTTTCATACCGCACTGGAAAAAGCTACCAACATAATATTCAGATAATATAGATCAGCCAATGTCACAGTAATCCATGTCTTATAATGGACCACAATAAAGATCTAGCCTGTTAGGTACAGGAACTTCAAGGGTGGAAGGTGTGCCCACAAAAAAAAACATATACTGATTTCCTCGAATAAGTGCCCACGCTCTAATTAGCGCCGTCCGCCGAATCTAGGCCATAATATCAAACAAGCCCCTTTCTCAAATAAGTGCACCCTCCCCTTCTCTTCGCTTTCTTAAATAGAAGGGATACAAGGGTAATTAATGTGGAGATCTGGGCCCGGTTGTTCAAACGTTGGATAGCGCTATCCACCGGATAAATCACTATCCAGCGGAAAAGTATTACGGAAATCAATTACGCTACCCGCTGGATAGTGATTTATCCGGTAGAAAGCGTTATCTAACGTTGGAACAACCGGGGCCTGCATATCATTAACGAGGATGATCCGGAGGATGATGAGATAATCGATGTTTTATGAACATGCGTACCGACACATTAGTGTGTAGAGCGTTCAATGGGACTAAGGAACGCTTGATTACCAACTACTATTTTAACAACGACAGACTATTAATATTAACTTTACGTTTCTATGAAAGATTTAGCCAGAGTTACACTTTGTTTAAAGGAAAACTGAAGTAGCGTCGATAAACGCCACTTCGTCCGATAAGCGCCGCTATCCGTAATCTTAAACAAACCCCGGGGTGATTATTTGAGGGAAAACATGTTGAGTAACATCGGGTTAAAAGACTGATATCTCTGCCGAGTACGTCGGTAGCCTGCGAGCGGTTACCGGTCGTTTCGGTACAAATTGAAGTCGTTTCGATTATATCAACTCGAGGTCGATTCTCTGTACAACCCAAACAAATTGCAAACTTTTGAAGGTTTAGTCAACATCAGCCCGAAATGATTGAACGTTTATTTTTACTCTTGAAGAACAAAAAGAATTTGTTTCTCTCCGAAGACTCTTCGATTTACATGCGGATTACGACATTGACAGTCGTTTCGTTTCTCCTTGGGAAGGGTAACGTTCTCCAACGCTCTCTTGTTTGAATACCAAGAAAGGCTCTGCTTATAGTATGACAGTATCGTTTTGTACCATTTGAAGCGTTTTGGTAAGATTTTCCAGGGGAGTGGGGGTGGGGGCATAGAGAAGTAGCACTAATTTAGGCTACTTGGGTTCTTGAATAGCTTCTTTTTTTTCTCAAGAAAAAACAAGAGCCTTGTCGCTAAGAGTATTTAGTGGTTTTCAGGTCATTCCTTATATAAAATCTGCATACTACTAAATTGCAGTTGAAGTGAAAAGGTACCTTTGTCTCCAAAGAGGATCCTGAATGTTTGCTTATCTTATTTGCCCAAGTGTTTTAGACTAAACAGGTTCTTGTATAGAGGGGGCCTAACTGGCAAATTTAAGCCTAACAGGTTCTTCTTGCTCGCGCAGGGTTTCTACTGTATAGTTATCCTTGGCTCCTGAAGCAAATCAATGTCGCATCATCTATAGGCTTTGTAATAGTCCTGTAAACTCAAGACGAAACCAACGTAACAACGCTAAAATATCCACCACAAGTACACATACTTATTGGCTTGAATAACAAAGTGCCCACCCCCACCCCCACTCCTCCCAACTTAGGGTCGAGGATTCATGGCTATTTTCAAATTTAGAGCTGCCTTTCCCTTACAATGTAAACTTTTAGGTACATGTACGACAGTCAAGTGTGGAGAGTCGGGTTGTTTACATTTAAACCGGTCTTAGACAGGTTGAGCAAAGGGTAAACTGTATACGCTTACGTTGTCCTTTGGTTGTTGCCTTTGATTGGGATACCTGTGGAGAAAGCAGAAGCTGGGTAACCATGCGTTTATCTCCGTGCAAGAGATGGGCAGAAAATTTTCCACGGGCGTAGAGGGAGGCCTAGGGTGAGTTTTCAGTGTTTAATTGATAAGTCAGCGGTAGTTTGGGAAAATGAAGTGAGATCGACCTTCTTGTCGGGACTCTTCTGGTCGACTCGTGACCCTATTTTTCGCAATCTGGCAGGAAAACTAGATCTGCAGACAGGCAAGATCAAGGTTCTCAAGTCTTTTCAAGCGACAATTATGAATTCCTCTGTGACCAAGTAAAGAAAAAAAAGATTGCATTTCTTCAAGGAAATTTTGACAATGCTCGTTTTTCGGAGAATAACTGTTTTTCAGTTCACAATTGTTATTCAGTGTGTATACTATCATGTATGACGTAACACATACCATGCTTACATATCTGTAATAAATCGCCATTTCAAGGTCAAAACTGAAAATCAGAAAACTAGACCTCGGGCTGATTCAGACATAAATAGAAACTACCTTTCCCTTCCCTTTCAAACACCTGCCACGCAGGCTGCTAGTGTAGCGTAAAAATCAACCTCGTTCCCAGGGTTCTCTCCTACCTGTCCCTACGGAGGGAAAAAATACGGTTTTTTTTGGAGTGGGGAGTGGGGTATTAAAAAAAATTTAAAGATTCGTTGCAGTGCCTGCGTATTCCGTTTGCGTAGTTCTGCGAATGTTTGTTTTTTCTATTGTTTTTTTTTAATAATAAAGGAATTACATTAACTGCAAAAACCGTGGACGAAGACATCGAGAAGGCTGGTGTGGCCAGCCGAAATATTGTTATGAGATCAGCTTTGTCTTTGGACAAGAAGTCTTTAAATTTGGACTTCCCGTTTTGGAAATTTTTAAGGCTCCGAAATTCGGCAAGGGATTTTTTGGGGTTAATTTTTGGTCGAGATAATTTTTTTGGTATTATTGGCAATCGTAGGGATTTTTTTTTGGTTCAACTATCATTGATACAGTTGATACAATTGAAGAGAGGATACATGTGCAATAGGACCATTGTACGATGACGTCATTTTACTACAACTACCAGAATCCTTGAGTTTGTTGTTTTCTTGTGCAAATTAAGGCTATTGTTCTTTAATACTCAGCGGGATTGACAAATTTAAATAACAAAGTCAAATCGAAATGAATTCTGGTACTTGTAGTCAAATATCGTCATCGTGCAATTGTTCTATTATATACTCCCATACATCAAGTATCTACAACGGCAGTTAAGGACACCGCTGACTTGTTAATTGAAAACCGAAAACTCACCTTCCACAGACCTTCCTCGCACTACAACCTTAACCATGCCGAAAGCATCTAACGCGGGCAGTGCAATGAAGAACGAAGCAGAAAATTGAACTTGGTGACACTATTATCTTTAGTTTTACCTACATAATTTTTTTTATTCGGATTCATCCGCTAAATTGCAAGGCAAAGTTGTAGAGCCCATGATATACTACTGCATATCAGGACCTGTTTAATCTGATGGTTTACTGAATACTTGTATCTGAACACGAGACAATGCGATTGTGGAGGTATAAAAGAAAATTGGTTTTCGTGGCATTGTTGACAGTAATTATTGTTTATGTGGGCTTCATGGTCCACATACGTGAAAAACCCATAAAAAGCACCGAGGTACCGACTTTTCCTCCGTTGATTTCGCATCAGAGAGCTGGACCTTTGAATGTAGACATTTGGGAGGACATTTGCGGACACAAGATGCAATCACTAAAACATTTTCCACTCTTTCCGCATCGGCCATCGACACGTTTACGAGCGTCAGATTTGCAACTCTATTTTCGGCCAGAATTCGAAAATTTTGGACTTCGAATATTTGGATATCTGTCCCCCATCGAATCCGGGCTTTACAGTTTTCATGTAGATACAAGTGAGACCTCCGAACTGTGGTTAAGCCCGGATTCAAAGCCAGAAAACAGCGTATTAATCGCAAATACAACTGCCGGGATAACATCAGAGTTAGACAGCAACAGAAATGGGATCACGCTTCTTGCAGGAAAACGTTATTTTTTGGAAGTTTTACTAAAGCATGGGAAACATGAAAAAGGGAAGCTTCATCACTTGGAAGTCAAATGGAAATTATTTCCTGGAATTGGAAGGGACATGACGAAAATCCCCTCTGATGTGTTTGTTCATGATAGGTTTGGTCAACTTGATGAAAAAGCAAATGCCGTTTTTCCCATGCACACAAAACGCCCAGATCCTAGCTTTGCAATAGATAGTCATCAGCACCTTTCAGAAATGTATCTCCTTCCTTTCATTAGTGAAAGTGATTCTAAAGATCTTTTCCCTCCGTGTGACTACAATCCTTCATACCTGGTGAAGGCACCTTTAAAGAGGTACGGGGCCATTTGGGAGATGCATTATACGTCCATTTATCCTTTTGACTACAGTGATGTTGTTGACAAGGAGAAAGATTTTGTTTCTTTTGGCAATGACAAGTTGGATGAAGGTATCGCTGAAGCAGTTGTTTCCCAAGTCTGGATACAGCTCAAGAAGAAACAACCAGGGTAATTATGTGTGCTGGTGTATTTCAGTTTTGAGGGACTTTGATTTTTACCCAACTTGGCCATATCTATGTCTGTGCTATACTGGATTGCTTTTTTCGTGCAACATGAAAAGCTATCCATTACAGTTTGAGCTGTTGCGGCTCATGGCTGGCTAACCTGAGATCAGGCATTTTTTTTTTTTTCCTTCTTTGTTTCTTTGGCTCGAGAGGGAAAAAAAATAACGCCTGACACATTCATTTAACAAACCGTTAACTGCCCCCTAATTTACATAATCTAACGTCTGCTTGACCTGACATGTTATTAGCCAATAAGTGTTTACCAAACAGGAATGAAATTTAGGCGCGAATAATGCCTCTTTTGAAATCAATTTTAGGGAAAAGAAAATTTTCAAGTACGCCCATGTTCAGATGGCGCTTCCTAAAAAAATTTTAAATGTGTTGTTTTTGTGATGAATTACTGCTAGCTGGAGCTGCCGTACCTTTATTTAACAGCTACCAATAATAAAGAATTTACTGGTTAAAGCTGGTTGACTTTGTTCTGTGCCGAAAGCTGTGAAAAAAAAATTAGGCTGAAGCACCACATTTTACGAACTGAAAGGTGTTATGAAAGCAAAGATTGCTCAGAATAATTCGCAGGTTTCTGAAGGAGGAATTGCAGTCAAACCAGGCCAAGATTCCATTCATGAATTGATTATTTGAAAAGTGAACCCATTTGTCGCTTCTGTAACTTGTAGCCGGTATCAAATTGCATTCAAATGCACGGTGAATTTTTGACTGCAACTTTTTAGTATACGATGAGATGGAAAATATTTCAATTGATGAAATTTCTATTTAGGCATTCTTCAAATTCAAGAAAACTGAGCCAGCAGAAATTTTTTAACGAACTCGCGTGTGTATTTACTGCTCGTTACGAAAGCAAAAATGTAGACTGAAAACAACAACAACTAATTTTGGCCAATTGGAACAGCGCAAATCATCTGTATTGTTTCCTATCTAATCAGAAAAAAGTCCATATTCTGGCTTTTTTACATGTGATCTGACAAAGAAATGTATCATGCCCTCTTCCCATGAGAGACATAAAGGGATAATACGAAGAGGGCATGATCTCAGGCTAATGGCTGGCTTGCAGGGATTGTTAGCTGTGGGAGTGGTACTGGGTCTAGGCGCTTACTGGCCGGCCACCAGTTGAAGCCCTTGGACACCCCATTGAATCCTAGGCACCCAACCTTTGTTTAGCAATGCAGTTGTTAAATTCCAATGTAGTGTAAAACATAGAGATACTATAGTAGTATGTAATAGGGCTTTAATCCTTCTTGAATTGGGCATGAGAATTTAAGCATCGTAGTATGAGATAGATAGCTTTATTAAGAAGTAAAACCATTGCAGCCCCTGGGCTGGCTGAAATCTGACTTACTTTACAATGGAATTAAAAATTATCTATAATTCAAATATGATGTAGGGTAAATTTTGTAGCCTGTTGTAGATGGAAGATCCTTGAAATAAGGTGTTAGTATTTGAGTTGAGTACATGTAGAAGATTCAACTTTTTGTATCATTCATTTCTTGAGATTTACAGTTTGAGTAACTTTTGGGAATTTGAAGACATTCCTTAATGCAAACCTAAGAATCTTCTAGGTGGTTGGTGTTATTTGTGTATTTATGTGAATATCCTGAAAATGACTGGTATGAGACTTGGGTCTGAAAGCATTCAAAGAGGTGTGTTGCACCTCACAACCAGGGCTGGAAAAAAGTCCTGCCTGGTAGTCTGGGACAAGTAGATTTTCCTGTTGCGCAAGTTACTTTTAAAGCTTTACTTGCCCAATGGGTAAGGGTCTAGACAAGTCAACCTCTAATGAACGCATAAAGTAAGACGAGCAAGAAGTGGCCCCAGGCGAGCAAAATGTGAGAGTTTTTTTTGAGTTTCTTGTGAGCTATACCACCCTTCAGGGAAAAATCTTCTAGGGTGTGAGAGTCACTTTGATAACAATCAGATTTTTTTTCTCTTCAATCTAGGAAATACTTTTTTGTGCAAATCCTAAATGTTGAGGAAAATCGTGACCCAGGAAGAGGATACAGGTATTTAGTGGAAATGGAACTCAAAGAAATTTTGAGTGGAAAATCTGTGAGATTCTCAGAATATGTATACAGACCTTGGGGTGCACAAGCCCTCTGTACGCCTGTGGGCGTGGCATGGAACAAAAGTGTTGTTGTCAACATTTTGCTTACAACTGGAAATAACCAGGGACGGTGGATTCTTCACTTCCTCGAAAACATGGCAAGAATTTACAACAGAACTAAAGACACCAATTTTAATGTTGTTATCGTCGATTTTGACAGCAAAGACATTGATCTTGGGAATGCTCTAAAGATGGCTACAATACCATCTTATCAGTATGTTAACATTAAAGGGAAGTTTAAAAAGGTTATTGGACTGCAAAAAGCTGCTAGTATGGTCACAGATCCTAACTCCATTGTTTCTGTAATGGATCTTCATATTGATATACCATATTACTATCTAGATGACTTAAGAAAGGTTAGTCAGCAGTGCTTTATGTTAGTATTGGTACATTTGAAAACGTTTAGTTGAATTTACACTATAGAAATGAAAAAAAAAAATATTATTATTATTATTATTAGTCTACCACCAGGGGTTTCGAGTGGGACTACTATATTGGTAGTCACTGGGTTACTCACTAGAAAGATGATTGGTAACTCACTTGGAAAGATGATTGAAGTATTCAATTATCAGTTGATCAGCAAATAATGGTAGTCAAAGGGGTTTGACATGTGGGTTGTTCTTTGTAAAAGATCCTCAAAGTTTCAAGGATTTTACTTGTAGAGAGCACATACACAGGAAAAATAATGATCTGTATGATTTTTTTGGTGACTTGGTGGGTCCAGTAGTCAGTATATCAAAACAAACAAGGGAGGACAGCCCCAGAGGAATAATGATGACTGAGCTTTTGAATTTGAAGGTTGTCTCCAACCAAACATCTGGCTTAGTGGTGGGGGGGGGGAGGAGGAGGAGGAGGGGAGGGGGGTAGACCAGGCCCTTGTCCTCCCTTACACCAATCCCTGTGTGGAGAACTTACTCTTGGCTTTTTCTAGAAGAAGTTCCTGATGAGGTGGACCAGAGTGGGAGGGGGGTGAGGATTCAAACCCCATTCTCTTCATCAATTGTTTTTACAGATCCCAGTGTCCCGTTTGAAGTTTGCTTAAAATCCCAATCCCAACTGTAAAAATGCACAGGCAATTATAATTCCCTGTGACTTAAATTCCATTTTCCCAGTCCAAAAAAATTTCTAGCCCACAGTCAACCTGTTTTGGGAAGAAATAGTTAAGGTCATTGAATTTATCTTGAGTACATAATCTAACACTTGCTATTTGCCCTCACACCCTCTTTCAGCACTCTGTTCAACACAAGATGGCCTACAGCCCTATTCTGGTTCGCTTAGCTTGTGGCACAACATCTACTGAACCTTTTGGCTACTGGGAATTTAATGGTTTAGGATTGATGGCTTTGTACAAGAGTGACTGGGACAAAATTGGAGGAATGAATGTCAAGGAATTTAAGGATAAGTGGGGTGGGGAGGACTGGGAATTGGTGGATCGGTTACTGGAAGCAAGGATGGAAATAGAAAGAATTAAAATGGTGCATTTGTTTCACCACTTCCATTCAACCAGAGGCATGTGGAATCGAAGTAATAACCACACAAATGCTAAAAGTAACTCAAGCAGATATTGGTATTAATGGCTATCACAAATATTGGTCAGTGTGGGTAAAGTGAAACTTTTCTTTTTGGTTAAAACTGCACTGCACGTATCCCACACAAAAGAGTGTATGAGCTCCAGTAATTTGTTTTTAATTGTTGGTATTTTCTTTGTTACTGATTTAAAAGAGATGAAACTTGCACAAACTGCATAAATTAACCAGCTCTTTTAATTTAAGCACCTAATTGGTATATACAGCTACATCTTCTATAGCTTAACTCTTATTCTAATGAGCAACAATGTAAACGATGACGTCACGATGAATCCGCCTATAGTGAGGACTTCGTTACATGGAGGTTATTAAATCAAGGTTCCTTTGCATTTTGAGGTTTGATCATAAAGCACAAAAGTTCTTCAAAGGAAAAAGGAAACTTTAGGTAAGCAATCTGTAAAAATTATGTGTACCAGCAGGTCTACTACTATAAATAGAGACTATTACAGAAAAATTCTTTTAATCAAATCAAGGGCTGAAAAGATACTTTTTACAAGAAAAAGTAAGGTCTGAGTTTTGTAACATTTGAATCTCCGGAAAAATTGTTTAATTTATATATAGTTTGACCAATGTAATAAGACCTCTTCATCAGTGCTTTCCTTTTTTTGATATCTTACTGTGAAACTCACACAACCGTGAACACTAGAAATATTTCTGGAGTGTTATGGTGTTGGAAGGAGAAAGCCAGTCAGACATGAGGAATGTAAAGCACAAGCAGCAACAGAAGTTTGTTTGTTTTTGGAGGGGCTACCGCTTGCTTGCGTGTTCTGATCTTTGCTGTGGTTGGGTGTTAATGGTTTTTGGAATTTGACAGTAACAAAACTGATATTTTGTTCCTAGTGAATTTGAAGTTTGGCTTCCATAAGGACTGAAAGAGCTCAGGGCCATTTGATGTGATGCTGTTTTCCTCGTGTTTCACAAGCAAATACAAGGCAATTCGAAAGTAGACCTATAATAATACGGTCGAACCCCCGGGGGGGGGCACTTGGGTATTTTTTGGGTGGGTATGTGCCGCCCGGGACTCCAAATTGGCACCCCGTTCTAAAAAAAATTTCCCCTCAAATTGATACCCCGTTCTAGAATTCGCCCTAAAACTGATACCCCGTTCTAGAAATGGGCCAATTTTTTATACTCCGTTCTAAGGTGCAAAGAGTACAACAGTTTGCTTGTTAACGCATTGAACCGTATTTTTAAAAGCAATCTGTCCTTGAATAATTTCAAATGGCTGCTTACAAAAACTGGAGCTTTCGTGCGTTTGAAATATTATACCCCGTTCTAGAAAACGCCTCTGAAATGGATACCCCGTTCTAAATCAGGAGCTTCAAAATCACGACCCCGTATAGGTATACCCGTATGGGTAACCCCCCGGGGTCGAACCTCCCGTAAGCGTCCACCCAAAGCGAAAAGGCCGAGTAGTCGCTTACGGGAGGTGGTCGTTCACAGGAATCGAACCACAGGGGGCGTTTTCCGAGAAGAGGCCCAGGCACATCTACTTTATGGAAGATAATTTACTGCATGCAATTCCTAAGTAACGACATGTGTAGTTCCATGTTGTCACTAAATTTCTTCGTTTATTCTAAGTAGCATAGTGCACATAGCGAACA